CAGATTCTCTATCAGCCCAGAACTAAAACAATTTCCAAGGCCAACTCTTCAGACAGGGATTGGACCGGACTGTGAGACGTAAAGTGATACTCGTGAGGAGTGTGCTTCTTAGCTCAAGTAGATACAAGAGACTAAACGGGCAGCTTCTGTTCGGTTGTGAGATGGGAACGCAGAGAGGGTTAGGAGCTGGTTGAATGGACATGGGGAATCAAATGTAGAAAAGAGCAGTGTGCTGTCACAGTACGGGGAGTGCAATTAGACTTACATAACAATGTATGTATAAATTTTTGTATGGGAGACTAACTTGAAATGTAAACTTCATTTAAACTACAACAATAAACAAAAAAAAAGAAGAAGAAGAAGAAGCTGTATAAGAACAAGAACAGACTGTTCAGGAACCTTCCCATTAAGGTAAACTGGAGGCAGGGGATGGGAAGGAACAGGGCAGGTGGAGGTTTGTCAGTTTCACTTTGAAAGTTTGTGTCAAAAAATCCCAGACTTGTCTTGAGTGCAGTAAGAGGAACAGGGATCCGTTTGGTCAATGGGCAAGTGGGGAGCAGTGTCAGAGCAGGATTCCCCTGGTAATGAGATGTAGTGGTGGAGGCTGGACTGTTGTAGGAGGGCTTGATGAGCTGACAGAATGAGTATGTCTCTGGCTTCCAAGCTGGCCCCTAATGATTGGACTCAGCTCCTCTGGGCTGTTGGTTAATTGGGCAGACGGGGTCCTTCCTTCCGCAGTGTAGCACAGCCTGTCCTCAAGCAGACAGCCCTGCTGTTCCTTCTGTCTTCACTGCACACCCAATATGCAGTGATGTGTCCAGGATGGGCACTCTCCTTGCACCAGGGATGAAGACTGCAGGGGAGTCCTGTGGACCTCGTGGCCCTGCCTTGAGTCCAAATGGCTCAACACGGGAGACAGATGTGCATACAGTCTGGGACTCCCCCAACCCCTTTCATACTGCAGACACCACTCATCAATCCCACACTCAAGATTCTCATCAAGGGGTCTCCTTTGCAATGACATATGGCCAGATGGCTTATGAGAAGTGTCTAGAGACAAACGAATCCCAACTCTATCTCAGAAACTTCCACCTAAAAGAGGAAGCAAAGTGTCACCGCACATTGCTCCTGGCAATTTCTACCCGTTAGTCAGAAATGGCCCTTTGGGAAGCCTATTCCATAGTTGATGGGGACAGAGTTTTCCACAGGAGTTTCTGAGGGCTCCTTGTGAAGGTGAAGCCTTTGGCAATACCTTGAGGGCAGAGACTCCAGTGGGGCTGGAGTAGGCCTTCTTAGAAACCCTCTTCCTTCCCTCCACAGCTCAGTCCAGCTGGGACTCAGCCTCATGACAAGAGGCCAGGAGTACAGTCCCCTGGTCAGTGGTGGGGGGCAGGGTGAAGACAGCTGACCCAGGGCCTCCTGCTGGGAGAGAGGAGCTGGTCTCTTCTCTGACTCCCTGTGAGACCCTGGACACATCGCTACCCCTCTTAGGGCCCCTGTTTTCTTATCTGGAAAATGGAAGGGTGAGGATGCTGTGGCCCACCTCATGGGGTGGTGAAGAGGGTTAGGGGGAAAAGATATGTGCATGAGCTTGTGCAGGGCTCCACCACAGAAAGGGTGATGGCCAAAATAACAATAATAATAGTGATAGAGGGTTGGGTTTTCAGGACACCCTATGGGGTAGGGGGAATTCCCACCACATTTTCCGGAGGAGGAAAAAGGCTCAGGGAGGCCAGGCTGCTTGCCCAAATCAACACTCCAGTGAGTGTTGAGTTGGGGTTTGAATTTAAAATCAGAGCACACTGGAGGTGGCAGTAGTGATGTACCAGCTGACTCTAGTCAGGTATCCAAGGCCCAAACAAGAGTGCGGGAGAAGGAGAGTGGCCATAGGAGGATATCCTCACTGACTCGTCCTTGACTCTGACAGGAGGGGATCTCCAAGTTTGTCACCCTGAAGATGAACCCCAACAGGGCCCACAAGGGGCTACAGCAGAAGGAGAAGGTGAGTGAGCTGAGGCCAGGGAAGAGGCCAGGAGGAGCTGGCCCCTTCTTCTCAGACCCTCCCCTCCTGGGGCTCAGTGCCTGAAATGCCTTCATTGTACATGACCTCCTGTGGGCCCTAGAAGGGCCTTGCCTGGACCTGCTAGTATCTTGGGCAGCAAGTTATAGCTGCCAGAGTTAGGACCTGAAAGAGCTGGCGTCAGGGTGGATTTGGGAATGGGGAGGGGCCAGGGACCACATAGGGTTTGTGAGTTGCCAAAAGCTGATCCCTCAAGATGATTAGAGGGAGTGCAGGGTCCATGAACTTGGGAATGGAGACCCAAGTAGAGGTGGCTAAGGGTCCCCAGGGTGCTCTAAGTGGGAGCCTCCTTGTAGGGTGAAAAGTGTGAGGTTGAGGAGTTTCAGGGAAAGGGCCTTTTTCTGGCACCAGAGAAAGTGTGCTCACCCCACCCCCACCCCAATATTACAGGGTGTTGTCCAGGGAGTCATCTTGGGAGTGTACCTCACAGACCTGGTGATGCTGGACACTGCTTTCCCAGATTTTCTGGATGTGAGTGAGCCTGGGGCCACAGGGCAAGAACCAGGATCCTGGGACTTGGGAGGAAAAGGTCCCCCTTCCTGATCCCTGAGCTCACAGCAGATGGAATCTTGTCTCAGGAGAGACTCACCACCACCCCTGTGAGTTGGGGGTGTCAGGCCATCTTACCTACAAGTAAATGGAGGCTGAGCATAAGCCACCTGTCCCGGTGCCCCAGGCTGCTGAAGTAGCAGTGTCTAACTGTAAACTGTGTGAGGTTGTGGCTGAGCTGGACATAGCCTCTTCCTCAGGGGTTGACATGTGTTGACAAGTGTCTGAGCAGCACCTCCCTGCCAAAGGCCTCAATCTCTTCGTCTATCATCAGAGAAGGCTGGGCTTTATGATACTTTATCCTCTGTCTCCTAGTCCCCTTTCCTCTGGTGGCCAAAACCTGGACCAGGACTAAACCAAAAAAAGAAAAAAAAAACAAACCTGTTGCCCTGGAGTAGATTTCAACTCATAGAGACCCTACAGGACAGAGCAGAACTGTCCCATAGGGTTTCCAAGGAACGGCTGGTGGATTCAAATTGCTGACCTTTTGGTTAGCAGCTGTAGCTC